CCAGATCAAATGTTCAGACTTATGCCAGTTAATACTCGTGAACAGTTGTTAGCCACATACATAGCAAATGATCCAGGCACTTGCAGGCACGTCTGGACAGGACGCAATAAAATAGAGGCTCAACGTAGTCTTCTATTCGAAGGATCACTCAAGCTATTCCGAAGAGACCCTAAACATTTTGTGGTACGTTTACGTGGAAACACAAATACGATAAGTATTGATTGATTAAAGCTAGTTTATCTAGACAATGAGCAATCACATGTAGCAATAGACTGTCTACCTAAGGAAATAATTGTAGGATCTATTTTGAAGGCTTTGTTTTTGGAAAATCCCTCCATGTATATATATATATATATATATATATATATATATATATATATATATGTTATGATATGACTGACTATTCTGTTCGATATTTTGATCCCATTTGAGATTTAATCATTGTATCTTGTTATTATTTCTATATCTTGTACTTATATTGAAGTTTCCATGTTTCCTTCTGAACTATATATGTGTTGTTTAAATTTGATACTTAATATGGCTACAGCCATATTTGGATTTGATACTCTAGCAGTAACTGACTGGAAGTACTTATTCTTCCAGCAACGGAACCTATTGTGGTAATTGGAAACTCGAAGGTGTAATACTGTTTTGGTAATTATCTGAATTTCCTCTTTTGATTAAATATAGAAGCGTTCTCTCCCAGAATTATCGTTTTTGGACTTGGACTGGGCGGGACGCGTATGAACCTATACCGTTCGGGTTAAAAGCGGACTGCAAGAGCTGTATTATTATTTTATATAATTACGGAACCAACAAATCACAACGTGAATTCTTCACATGTGGCGAAAAAGTTTAGATGGGTACAACCAACACTCCAGCCCGTTATACATAGTCAGTTAATCTCATCCTAAAAATTCACCGTTTGTGTATTAAAGTTTTGATGTTCTAATTCCTTTTTCGTGCATATTAAAAAATTCATATTCTGTCAAAAAATAGTAAACATATGCGTTACCTTATTTACACCTTATCAAGCTTTTGACATTTTGAGTATGAGTGTGGTATTCGTTTTTGTACTGAGTACATAAGCGATTTCTCCCTGAACAATCAAATGAAACCATAAATCTAAAGCTGTACAACAGCACAAGACATGGATAATCAAGAATCCTCAAATGAGGTGAGTACCGTGAGATTAACCATTTATTCCTAGACTTTTCCGTTACAAAGGAAATAATGATAAAAGTTGGCGGAAGCATGAAACTAGATTCCGATAGACGCAGATCATACAACCGAATATATAGATTCCTGTAATGATGGAGAATGGCAAAATTAATCCAGATGTTTCATTATTTCACTTGATGAGCTTTTAATTTTATAGTAGTTTATAACATTCAACATCCCTTTATGCTAGTCATATATATTTTATTACAGAAATGTCATGCTCAAACTCATTTTTGATATAAGCTATATTTAACGATTTCATACGATAATATGCAAATATGGAAAAGCAAGTTGATTTTAGACGCAGCATATTAAATGAAATGATAATTTAGCGATTTTTAGCTGCATGGATTTTTACGGGCACATATTTATGAACGTCTAGCCCTAAATTACTGAGCATTTAATCAACGTGTTTTGTAATATAATAAAACAACCCAGATTCATAAGAAGTATTCCATTTATTTCAAAATGCTGGCACCTTCGAAGACGTGCCTCAAACCACAAAGAGTACTGAGCATCTAAAAATAAAGTTCGAAGAACTCTTGAACCGACTAGCCCTACTGAACATACCTACATCGAAGCAACACACATTGACTAACTTGCTCACTTAGATCGGTTAGCCCCTGTGGAGCATAGGTCACCGACCAACATTTTTCAACCTACTCTGTCCTGGGACTTCTTTCCCATTTCTGTCAAACTTTTGTTCACTTTTCTGTTGTCTGTCACTTATTCTTGGAGTAATATGTTCTTTGATATCAAGATACCAAGGAAAGGAGATCTTAGTAAGTGTGGAAAGTATAAAGGCATCACTATTCTCTCATTTCCAGGGAGAGTCCTCGAAGGAGTTTTGTTAAACAGAATAAAAGATCCGTAGAAGCCCGAATTCTGGACTAACAGGCTAAGTTCCATAAGGATCAATCATGTACCGATCAAATCGCGACACAGCAGATCATTGTGAAACAATCGATTGAATGGAACTTGCTACTATAAATCAACGTCCTTAACTACGAGAACGCGTTTGATAGCGTGAACATGACACTATGGAGGCTTCTTCGACACCTCAGTTTACCTGAGAAGATAGTCGACATATGATGGACTAACCGCGAAACAGAGAACAGAACGCAGATTCGTTCAAATTGAAGACTGGTGTCGCGCAAGGTTGCCCACTCTCACCCTTTCTCTTTCTCCTGGTGATCGGCTGGATTATGAAGACGTCCACATTTGGGGGGAAGCACGGTATCCAATAGACAACTAGGATGCAGCTGCACGATCTGGACTTTGCATATGATCTAGCTCTTCGATCGCACACGCAACCACAAGTGCAAGAGAAGACGACCAGTGTAGCAGCAGCCTCTGCAGCAGTAGGTCTCAACATACATAAAAGAAAAAGCACAATTCTCCGATGCAATACAACATGCACCAACCAAATCAATCTTGATCGAGATGCTTTGGAGGACGTTAACACTTCTACATATCTTGGCAGCATCATCGACAATCAAGGTGGATCCGATGCAGATGTGAGGGCGCGGATCGGCAAAGCAAGGGCTGCTTTTCTACAATTGAAAAATATCTGGAACTCCAAACAAATATCAATCAACACCAAAATCAGCATTTTCAATACAAATGTCAAGACAGTCGCATTGTATGGAGAGGAAACTTGGCGAACCACCAAAGCCATCATCTAGACGATACAAGTGTTTATTAACAGCTCTCTACGCAAAATACTTCGGATTCGTTGGCCAGATACCATCAGCAACAACCAACTGTGGGAGAGAACAAACCAGATTCCAGTGGGGGAGGAAATCAGGAAGAAGCGGTGGAAGTGCATAGGACACACACTGCAAATAGAACCTAACTGCGTCACAAGTCAAGCCCTCACATGGAACCCTCAAGGTCAAAGGAAAAGAGGAAGGCCAAGGAAGGTTATGAGAAAAATGAAAAAAGTTTGGAAAGAACTGGAAAGGAAAGCCCAGGACAAAGTTAATTGGAGAAAACTGGTGGGAGGCTTATGCTCCATTGGTGGTAACCTGTGATAGTAAGAAAAGTATCGGGTTTGGTTCCCGAGTGGAGGTCAACTGTGCAACGTAGGTGCATTCAGCCAACAAATGGCAGCGAGGATGAATTGTGTCTCTTGGATTCCACTACTAGCACTCAACCTATTCGCTATCAGGTTGTTACGTAGGAGAATTAAGTTGAATTACTGTGACAGTAGCAGTATGGTCGAAAATGACTTTGTTAGAGTGGGCTGCGAAATTATGGAAAGAAAGATTTAGTCTAGTGAGTATCCCCAAGTTAGGACAAGCAAGAAATAAATTTGCTGCCAAGCATCAAGAATACTTTGCATCCTGTAGCTAGTCGATAACAGGTGATTTTATGGATCCCTAGCTCAGCTTCAGTTCACAGTTAAACCTTCGGGGTCCATTAATTGCTTAGAGTTTCCTGATAAAATTACGCAAAGAATAACTTATTCTAAATTTTCATTTTAAGTAAGGCTTCCAACATTGTCTCATACAACCTTCTAAGATACCCGATCTTTTGTCCTCGTTTAAACTTTTTGTAAAAAACCTCGCAAAATCATTTGTTTGGATCTTACTACACTTAACCTATATAAACTGGAAATCAAAAGCCGAGAAAAACTTTTACTATCAGTACTGACTAACAATAACCTACCAGCCCACGGTGTGTCATCATCAGAATACCAAATTGTCCTTGGTTTCCTTTAGGTGGAAGGTTTTTGGAATTTTATGGGAGTTGATTTTCACAAAATTAGGGATGCGTTTACAGCTCCTTACATCATGAGATCAAAATTAGAAATTAGAAATAAGCCCATGTTTAAGAGTCGAATCTATTTACATAGAAATATTACAAAGGACATCTAGTCAAGCTACCATTATATTTCAGAAGCAAAATTACGACTGGTAGCTCCTAAATCTAGATCATTTTCACTATCCTCAGCTAAACTGAACGATAACTGAAGTGTAACGTAAGCGACGTGAAATATTCCTTGAATTTTCATCCGAAATGCGAGAAAGACCAAAAAGACACAACAGGAAGATGTAACAAAAGTGCAAAGATAGAAGCAAACCGAAAGGCTTTTGACAAAGCCCTTCACAAATGACTTCAATACAATTTATGTGGTAATGGGATCGGGGCAATTTTTTATTTGGACTAAGAATTTCCTTGTTTGGTGCCAGAAGAGAGTACGGATCAACTTGAAGTTGTTTAGCTGGGAAACTTATTTCGCTTGTTATGTAAAAGGACAAGTGGCCTCTTAACTACAGATTTTAGTTTACTTTAGGAAAACTTTGCATATGATGTGCACTCATTTTTCTTGCCTTGCAAAGTAGAGGAATTATGAGGAGACTTTTGAGAAGTTTTGGAGCCTGCAAAATATCGCTTGTCAACTGATTATCGACTTTTCCATCAAATCGCAAAGGAACGGTAACCGTTTCCCGAACACGTGATTGAAGCTCCATCTATTGATGCATCCAAAAGAAAGCTAGATTAACCAAGCAACTAAAATTGCTAGGACTGACGAAGATAACCCAGCCTCCTGTCCTTTCCAAAAGAAAATGAGACTTAATCCTACGATATGCAGATTTTCTACGGGATAGCCTGCTATTAAATCTCACTCTTGTACTAGGCAGTAGCTGTATAACAAAGTAATTAAAGGAAGGATTATATTTATACAAAAGGGAACTATATAAATATGAACAAAAGTCCTCGTAATCCCGTTTTAACAAATTCCTGGATGTGAGATTCAATTATATCGTTGAAACCCTACTTTTAACGGGTGGATTGACTTGCTGAAGGTCATATACACGTAAACACACCGATGAACTGGGCATTGTGTGCTGTCTTGTGTCTGTCCGTAGGGCTCTGTATGTATGACTATTGTTTTGTAACTCATAATGTATTTGTTCAGCCCTCGCTTGTGACGAGTTTGATGTCAAGCCAGTTTCCTATTCTTCAAGCGAAGCAGTTCTTTCCACTGAAACCGTAATATTGATTGAAGGTGAAGCCAAATGTAAAGGAAAAGGAGTAAGATCTTTTATGATGTAATGCTTATTTACAGTCTTCAAATCTGTATGCTGAGCTAAATGGAACTTTTCATCCAGTTGCTCGTCATATTGAAACTGACAATTTTCAAGTATATCCTTAACATTTTGTTCATAATTTTTGTACTTGTTAATGCTAGGTTTCATTTGTCTTTAATCACAAAGATTTACCTAAAGGAGAATATATTGTCCGATTTTATAATGAAAAAGGTGTAACAGCCTACTTGAGATCTTCAAAAGGTGGCTTTGCATCTGATGTACCTCCTGTCTTCACAGTTACTGTTCGACATAGAGTAGTTTAAAAAAAATATAATAATCATTAAAATTTATTTTATTTTATAGGGAATTTCATACAAACCAATTGTTTATTCTGAAACAGTGGCATTAGTAACAATTATGATGATAGCATTTGGAGCTATCATAACAAAGAACAAATTCTAGTACTATTTTTTTAAATATATTTATTTCCGTGTACATGTACATTCTGTTTGTCTTCCCAACCAGCCTCTCTGGTGTTGTATTGTACTGGTAAACTTTAATTATTTTATAAATATTGCTGAATTCCTTATGTTCGGTATTTTATATTGGAGGGTTATTAATGCTAGACTGGTCATGTAGATTCTAAATTGGTTACAGTAACTTTATCACGTTTTCGCAAGTTTTCTCGCAAGATTGTCTTGTGCTTGTTAGATTTGTGACTTTCTAAATGTACTAACTTCTGGATGTGAACTATGTTTAAGTGTTTTGGTTGATATCTACCTGTAATCTAAGCCGTTGCGTACTTTGATATTTAATGCAAAGTATGGTATATGCCGAATAAGGTTGCCTAAACCAAGATATGACATCGATTCATCGTGGTCCCTGTAAAACGTATTGTGTTTCGCGCAACAGTTTAGTGAATAAAGCTAATCTACTTACTCAAATTGATGTTGTACATATGAAGCTTACTTCTTTAACCTAAGAATCCAGCCTCGTAACTTGTCCTCTTTTTTATAACTGTTAGATGAAATATACACTGAATATTTTTTTTATTCTGTTTTGATTCTTGCCTAGAATCTAACGATAACTAGAATTTGTTCATTTTCTATTTCTCCCCTTTTGTTTAAAATTAAAGTCTATTAATAGTCTTCCTTACTCAGTCAGTCAGTCAGTTGCAACGTAGAACTTCATACGTAAGTACATCAGTTCATGTCGCCATACCACATCAGCACAGAGATATAATTGTCAATTCAAATCCAATAGTAGAAGAGGTAGTAAAGGTACTAGAAGTAATCGGAGAGGTTAGAATTAGAAGATATTATTCACGAAGTATGATTCAATGAGATAAGTTTAGAAAGTAAAAACTAGAGATGTTGAAAAATCCAGAAGATTAGTATTTGCGAAAACACAAAGAGTAAGTGCACTGGCGCCATTGCGAACGATTTTGAGCCATGTCATTCAAGGTCTCTAACCATCGATTATTATCATCTCGCGGACCCCAACCAGGTAGTCGACAATTACCGACATGGCTCAGTCCACTCGTCAATGACTTCATGGATTTCTGTCATGTTTTGGTTTGGCCGCCCCTAGCTTTCTTCCAACCTATTCCTACACTACAAAACAAAGCTCGACGAGGCAGTCGGTGGTTAGGCATACGCAACACGTGTCCCAACCACCTCAACTGATGAAGTTTCACCACTTCATCTATTGATCTCCCATTCTTACCTAGTACCCGTTCCCTAATAACAGCGTTGCTCACTCGGGTGTCCCACGATATACGAGCAATGCTTCGAAGACACCTATGATCGAAAACCAATAACCGACGAGTATCTTCTACTCTCATTGGCCATGTTTCACAGCCATAAAGTAAGACGGAGCGAACTACTGCGCAGTACACTCGTCCTTTAGTCAGCAAACGGATATCTCGCCTACGCCATAAGTGACGCAGGTTGGCAAAAGTCAATCGAGCCTTCTGTATCCGTGCCGAGATTTCGTCACAAACCAGGCCATCAGCACTGATGAGACTCCCAAGATAAGTGAAGCGGTCTACACGTTCGACTACTTCACTCCCTATCACTAGTTCAGGTGCCGATGAAACCCAATCTTGAAGCAACATTTTGCATTTCGAGGGGGAAAACCGCATCCCGAACATCCTTGCATTGTTGCTTAGGGTGGTCAGAAGACTCTGCATTTTGTCAGCGTCTTCACCAAGTAGGACTATGTCATCGGCATATTCTAAGTCAAGAAGCGAGCCACCTGGTAAAAGGTCTACTCCTGAAAATTCAGACGAGGATAAGGTTATTTCTAGGAGCATGTCTATGATAAAATTAAACAAGAATGGAGAAAGTGGACATCCCTGACGGACACCACTTGAAGTAAAGAATTCCGGTGACAGTTCGCCATAAGCTCTCACTCGACCAGTGGTGTTCGAGTAAAGAGCTTGTATAAGGTTAATGTACTTACTGGTACACCTTTCAATGACAGACACTGCCACAGAACCTCACGATCCACAGAGTCAAATGCCGCCTTAAGGTCCAGGAAAACAACTATTGTAGGACGCCTAAATGTGTGTCTATGTTCCAGGACCTGTCTGAGTGTGAAGACGTGGTCTATACAACCACGTCCAGGTCGAAAACCAGCCTGGTTTTCTCGAGTCTGCTCTTCACGAGCTTTCGTTAAGCGTCGAAGTATTATTGAGGCCAATATTTTAGATACTATATTAGTTAGACTGATTCCTCTGTGATTGTCACAAGAAGACTTCTGTCCTTTCTTATAGATTGGGACAATCAGTGATTGGGACCAGTCGGATGGGATTACGTCCAGTTCCCAGGTTCTACCTAAGATCTCAGTCAATCTAGCTGCTAAAACTGGACCACCATCCTTAAATATCTCAGGGGTCAGTCTATCAGGACCTGCAGCTCGTCCTCGTTTCAGATTTCCTAACGCTTTCTCAACGTCATCAAGACTAGGGGGATTTAGGTCGATTTGCCATTCAGGATGACTGGAGATCGTGGGTAATCGAAGAGTGGCTCGAGGCCAGTTGAACTAATCCCTAAAGTGTTCTGCCCATCGATCCAGTCTCCTGGATTGAGAATAAATAATAGTCCCGTCATTTTCTGAGATAGTCTCACTTACACTAGGATTCCTCATTCCAGTTTCCTTGATAAGTCGGAAAAGTTGTCTACTGTTGCCGATCGCCGCTGCCTTTTCCATCGCTTTTGCTTTCGCTACCCACCACTGTTCTCGATTGTTACGTAGGCTTTTTATAAGTTTGCGCCTAAGTTGACTTCGTTCTTCATCATGTTCAGAGCCAGGTGGGATGAGTTTTCGGGCATCCATCAGATCGGTGGATGCTACTGAGATCCACGGTTTCATTCTAGCCTTATGGTCAACCTTACTAGCAGATCTCACTGCTGTTTCCACAGCCTTTTTGATATCATTCCATCCTGCTTCCAGATGGGAATCGCTTGCATGGTTGCTTAACTCTCTTTCTAGTTGCTCCTGAAATATTTTCTTGGTTTGATTATCGTTAAGTAAAACCCTAAGAGGCTTTCTTACGGTGTCTTTCCTACGCCCAGTAAGTTTCAAACAAATACGCGCTCGCACTAGGGCATGATCTGAATCCGAACATGTGCCCCAGAACGAGCGACAGTCCTCTATCGAACCCCTCCATCGGTGGCTGATGGCGATGTGATCTAGTTGAGTCCAACGTTGAGACGACTTTCGAGGTCGCCAGGTCAACAGATGCTTTTCCTTATGCCTAAAGTTAGTGTTTTCTAAGAATAGGCGGTTATCTGAGCATGCTTGCAACAGACGGTCACCATTGTCTGTTCTCTGAGCCGCGACACCATAACATCCACCTAGGTGTCTCTCCTGCTCACTTAGTCTACCTAATTGAGCATTAAAGTCACCAGCCATTATTACTATATCAGAGCGCCTAGCTTTTTGGAGGAGGTCCGAAAGCTTTCTGTAAAACTCATCCTTAACCTCGTCTGAACTGCATTCAGTGGGGGCATAGGCAGATACGATGAAGAGGCAACGGCGATTGTCCCTATCTTTCCGAGTCCTTACTGTCCCGTTTAGTCGGACAGCGCACAATCGACTATCTATTGGGATCCAGTCAGGGAGAGATTGTTCTGCCCTACGACTCAATGCTATGCCTACGCCAGCAAGACCCCTGGAAGCAGCATCAGGGCTACCGGATACACCTTTCAATGACAGACACTGCCACGGAACCTCACGATCCACTGAGTCGAGTGCCGCCTTAAGGTCCAGGAAGACAACTATTGTCGGACGCCTAAATGTGTCTGGTTAGGCGTCTGAGGTTAACAATTTAGAAACTATATTAATTGAACTGATTCCCCTGTGATTGTCACAAGAGGACTTTCTTACTTTCTTATAAGTTGGGACACTCAGCGATTAAGACCAGTCAGATGGATTGCGTCCAGTTCCCAGATTCTACCTAAGATCTCAGTCAATCTAGCTGCTAAAGCTGGGTCACCATCCTCAAAAATCTCAGGAGTCAATCTATTAGGACCCGCTGCTCTCTATCGCTTACCCAACTTCATAAAGAGTCGGTGGACTTATATCCATTTGCCATTCAGGATGACTGGAGATCGTGGGCAACCGAAGTGTGGCTGAAAGTCAGTTGGACTGATCCCTAAAGTGTTCTGTCCATCGATCCAATCTCCTAGGTTGGGAATGAAGAATAAGACCATCCTTTTCTGAGATAGTCTTACTCATATTCGGGTTCCTAATTCCAGTTTCCTTGATGAGTCTGAATTGTTGCCTATCGCCGTTGCCTTTTCCATCTCCCTTGCTTTCACTACTACACACCACTATTCGTGATCATTGCGTAGACTTATTATCAGCCTGCGCCTAAGCTGACTCCGCTCTTCATCGTACTCAAAGCTTGGTGGGATAAGTTTTCGACCGTCCATCAGTTCGGTAAATGCTACTGAGATCCACGCTTTCTTAGACATATGGTTTACATTGCTAGCAGATATCACTGCTATTTCCACAGCTTTTTTGATATCATTCCAACCTGCCTCCGGATGGGTATCGCTTACACTGTCGCCTGAAGTATATACTTAGCTTTATAATCATTAAGTAGAGCTCTAAGAGTTTTCTTGAGATATTTTCCCTACGTCCACTAAGATGCAAACGAATACGGGATCGCACTAGAGCATGGTCTGAGTCTAAACAAGTGCTCCAGAATGAGCGGCAGTCTCAATAGAACATCTCCACCGGTGGCTTATAACGATACGATCCAGTTGGGTCCATCGTTATGTCGGCTTTGGGAGTGGCCAGGTCAAAAGGTGTTTTACCTTATGCTTAAAGTTAGTGTTTGCTAGGAATAGGTGATTATCTGAGTATAGTTGCAGCAAACAGTCGCCATTATCTGTTCTCTGAGCCACGATACCATAAGATCCACTCAGGTGTCTATTCTTGTCACCTAGTCTGCCTACTTGGGCATTAAAGTCACCAGCCATTATATCTACATCAGAGCGCCAAACGTTTTGGAGTAGGTCCGGAAGGTTTCTGTAAAACTTATCTTTCACCTCGTCTGAACTGTAATTAGTGGGAGCGTATGCAAATAAGACCACGAGGCAACGGCGAGTGTCCCTATCTTTAGGAGGCCGTACCGTCCCGTTTAGTCGGACAGCGCATAAGCGGCTGTTTACCGGAATCCAGTCTAAGAGAGCTTGTTCTGCCCTAGGAGCTCATACTATACCTACTCCAGCGAGGCCAAGGGAACCAGCATCATGGCTACCAGGAACACCAAGCGTAAGTCGTGTTGTTTATCTATCTGCAATAGGTCAAATTAAATTGATGA